GTCTACCAAATTCCAGATTTTTCAGATACGCCACCCTCGTCCATCGTCCCAAAGATGCCAACGGCCCTCCGAAAATGCGCGACCACTGCCCAGAGCATCGGCCATAATGCACCGGATAATTGTTACGCAATTTTCGACTAAAATGTTGCAAATGCATTGTGTATGGATCGGAGATGCGAGAAATAGTACTTCGGCATTCAAAGGGAACCATGCTGTTTGTCCTGTGAGAAATTAATACACAATAGTTCTGTGGGCTGTGACCCAATTTCATTGAATATACTTGAAAGAAACATCTAGTTGACATTTTTTAACCGAATTAATGAATCATGAGCTCCTTATTCTTATTATCATCAAGTTTTTTCTCATTGTTTGTTGTTGCATCTCAAACGCGAAAACGTTTTACTTCGTCATCTTAAGACTGCTGTGTTTTATATCATCTCTTCACAGGGCAAACAACCTGGTTCGTCTTTAAATGACGAAGTACTATTTCTTGCATCCCAGATCACTTTCGCGTTTCACTTTTTAACCCACTGGAATTGCAGAGATTTTGACGTCTTCAGGACGATGGACGAGGGTATCGTATTTGGTACATTTAAAAAAACGGGCGTTTTGGAGGAGTGAACGTCCTTTTTAGGGGGCGGCAATGGCTACCCCCAGGCAGTTCTGAGCTATGCCATTGTTTTGGAGAAGGTCATCGTTGTGACTGAATCGTTCACAATAAAGAGGATTATTCTAACACATGTGATTTCGATTGGCCAGAGAAAAATGGGAGATTATAAATTCAAACGTCAGAGTTATGGCATAATAAGGTTTAGCGTAATGTAAGTTTTTCATGATCAGCCATGGTGATTAGGCTCTCGCTAGATTTGAGAAATTTACCCCCTTTCTTCTGAGGTTGACAGTTTGACTTGAGACATATGGCTATGCTCTAATATTATCTGGAATAAATATTAAATCCCAGGCTTTTCATTCCTGGAATCAAGAGTATACTGTGCTTTTGAAAGAGCCCTTCTCCTCTTTATTTTTTGAACGGCTCAGTTAGCGAGCTAGATTTCATGACGATAGAATTGATGCATGAATACTATAACATCTTAGTATAAAGCTTCTTCTTCCTACTTTATTAATAGGCTCATGCCTATTTTAATTCGGTTTTTAGCCTCAATTAATGTTGTCTGACCATCTTTTCCTTGGTCGTCCCATTGATCTTCTTCCATTTGTCTCGCTAATCGTGCTGTTCTATTTTCTGTCATTCTTTCTATGCGTTGATTCCATTCTGTTTTTCTTCTTTTGGTCCACAGGTTTATTTCCTCTATACCACATCTCGCTCGTATTTCCTCACTTCTTACTTTGTCTCTTAGGGTTTGGTTTGCTCTTTTTCGTCAGGCTTTCATTTCTGCTGTTTCCAATAATCTTTGTGGTTTCGCCGTATCTGCTCTTGTTTCCGCTGTGTACGTAATTATCGGTCTTATTGTTGATTTATATATCCTAGGTTTCGTTTCCTTTGTGAGGTATTTGTTTCTCCAGATTGTATTGTTAAGACATCACACTGCTCTGTTCGCCATGTTCACTTGTTTTTGTACTTCTTCCACTTTTCTGTAGCTTGACAGTTTGATTCCCAAGTATTCCGTTGCCATCACTTGTTCTATTATTTTGTTATTTACGACCAGTTACATCGTCTCGGTTCCGCTGATATCACTATCGATTTAGTTTTCTCTGTTGCAATCACCATGTTGTATATGAGCGCCGTATCTTCGAATTCTTTAATTAATCTTTGTATGTCATCTTCATTTTCGGCTATTTTTATGGCGTCATCGGCGTAGCATAACATATTATCTGCATTTCCTTTTCTCCCATTCTATATCCTCCTCTTTTTTTAACTTTCTTTATGATTTCATCCATTATCAGATTAAATATCAGTAGGCTCAGCGAATCTCCTTGTCTAATGCCAGTCTCATACTTGATAGGTTGCGAGAGTTTTCCTTTACATCTTACCATAAAGCTGATAGACAAAAAATTCTAAATAAAAGCTAGGCGCCATATCGGACAATTTCTTAAGTGAAATGAGGAATCACGAGATACCCAGTTTTAAAGTACTTTATGACTTTGGATTACACATTTGTTATACTCAAAGATAGCTGTCTGACGGGCAACGAACTATGGGACAGTCCGTTTGCAAAAATTGATAGATTTTATCCTTATTTTTCGAATGTTTCACATTCACGCATCATTTGAAACATTCCAAAATTCATCTCACTAACTAACAGGCCATGTTTAAAATTTATTTATTTTGAAGTTTTCACATGTCTTATAAATTAGAAATAAGGAACAGTATCTACAAGCTGGTTGGGCGGGTACCCAAAACTGAAATCTGTCGAATATTCCAGAATGAAAAGAAAGCAGGGAGCATGTCTGAATTTCCCAAAAAATGAAAGAATACGGCCCAATTTCACCAACATCAATACTTGACGTCCCTTGGACCAATCGTAAAATAGGAAATTGAAATGCAATTTGACAGAAGCTGTCAAAGGTCTCTGAAAATCAGTGATTTCGATTGAAATGTTGTATAAAGTCGTGAAAAAATGGTTGCCTTATAAATAAGGGTACATTATACTCGTAGATCTAATATTATGACTTTGTGCTTTAGAATTAGGATATCTTTCATAGAATTTCCAGTTTCACAAAAGACGGTCGGTTATGTAAATGGACCAATCAAAATGATAGAAATAATAGGTCGGTTTTCTAGCTATTATATTTGGTAGGATTTTTTCACTGTTTTTGACGACTGTTCATGCATGGCAATCTAGTTTTGTCTGTATATAAGTCAGAATCAAAAATACCTATTTATGAAAAGATATCTCCAAACAGTGTTTTATTTTCTTATTTCTATTATTATAACATGTCTAGGATATCAATTGCTTTTAATTAAAGTGATCTGCACATCTGCAGTGTTGCCGAACCGGCAAAAAAAACGGAATCGTTGAATTCGGTATAAAGAAAATGCCGTCCCAAGATCAGTGGTAGATTAAGGACCTTTGAGTCATGAAACACGTCTGTTATTGTATTGGGCGCGCACACAACATGTTTTTTGAAGGCATAGTTCTGTATTACAACTTCTACAATGTGCATACTTGTCGCTCTTTCAAAGTACTTTGCAACCATTCTCGCAACTCCTTTTTCGATTCTTGCTTATAGTATTGTGAATATTTTTCTGTTTTAGCCTTGAACTCATGAACTCACCTCTCATTTTAATTAAATATTTATTTTGAAAACAGGCAGGTTTCAGTTTCTTTATTGCTTGTACGGTGATGAGGTAATGACGGTAATCTACCAGTATGTACCTTTTGTTTGCACAAAGATCAAGTCAGGCAAGCGGAGTAAGGGATGAGGATGTGCGTTCGTAATCATAGGCAACTCAAATCTAAATATTCTCTTTTCGGTAAAAATACGGAAATATCCGGTTCAAGTCCATGCACAGACAATCTTAAACTTGCAATATGGATTTATATTCTACATTCTATGCATATCCGTCCATATTCGTCAATAATTCATTTGAAGCTTTTATTTGTCATAAGATTTTAGCAAAATGTAAGATAGTAAAGGCAACACCGCACCCTGCAGCCCAGTTGACAAAAACGACAAGCTGTCCAGATTAGGGATGTTTAGATCCACGAAAAGTATCGTTATGTAACGATTCTTATCGTCTTAGGAAGTACCGATACCCTAAAATATTGGAATAAAATTAACGATATCCAGCGGAAGGAAACAAAGAAGAAAAGTAATCTGAAGTTAGTCACTCTTTCTGACACAGTCCGGATCGAAAGATGACGATACTCGTGAAATGTATTGATACTTCTAAATATAGGATCGTATCGAGAGTGGGTATTTCTTAATCGCTGTAAATATAGTGTGGATGATTGTTCAGTTCCTGAACAATGAAAAATATACAACTTCATGGATGTGTGGATATCAAAAAACTTGAATGGTTTTGTGGGAATGTCAATCTAAGGTGCCATAATGGTACTGATGAACGGCAAGTAAATGAATGAATGTTTGGAAACGAGCAATATCTTTTGGTAGAGCCTGTCATCAAGTAGGTGCTTAATGGCTATCTGCAAGAGGTTTATAGGAAAAGAACACACGGTAGGTGATGTTGAGTCAGTAAAATGGCATAGCAATTGAAGAAAATAATATAAACATGAATAAACAATCGACAGTATTAAATAAATCATGAATTTTTTCCAAAAATCGAATAGTTTTTCAAATTTTGACAAAAGTTTATGTGATTTCTTAATATTCAATAAGCTGGTATGTTTCAATGACAAGCTATCATTTCATACATTGACAGTATTTTGTGTTCAACATTTCGTAGCTATTGGTTGCTAAAAATTATTGATTGGAGCTTGAAGCTCATTCGCTGTATTTGACGGACTGTTACCCTATATGTGGAAAACAACGGACTGTTAGTTTGATAATCTTGGTGAAATCCACCCCACGTGTAGTTACTGCACTGAGTAATTCTGAGATGAAGGGAAACGACGGATCTTATACGGAAAATGTGACAATGTTAGATACAAACATAAAGCGAAATTTTTAGATAAACTTCTTTGTCTGGTGCTCAATTTCTAGCAGGGGTGTATCCCAATCTTTTATGGAAGAGTGAGGGGTGAAGCTTTGAATAGTTAGAGCTATATTGACAACTGCCTTTCCAAAAACGATAATCCTCTAAAATTGCCGCACGCTTGCCCAATAGAGTATTTTTGGGGTTTTATGTCTAGAAAGGTTTATCATGGAGGCTGGGAAGCCCAGGATGAAAAAGAATTAAGACGGCGAATTTACGAAAAACTAGGAGAAATTGTTCTGAATTCTGTCGAGGACCTCATGAAAGACATTCGAAGAAAGTTGCGTCTGTTAGAGCGGAATGAGCCACTTCACATAATTCGATAGTATAGTTCAGTTAAGTATTAAGTTCTAATTTATGATAACTAGTTGGTGTTTCAATAAATTTCTTTATTAAAAAATCCAATTAAACTTGTGTGCCAAAACTTGATAGATTCCTCCTATCAGTCCTTCCTGTCCGAAGTGTAAGATTCTCCAAGATACGGCATACCCATCAAAACAGCTCAGTCATTTGGCATGCATCCTAGAACTTGCATTGCAGCATTCCGTCATGGTGGACATCGCTGTGCTGGAATTCATACCTCAGGTACCCCATTCTATTTTCTTTAGACTGTACATCGTTCGATCCCCGTTTCACCAGTGACCATACAACAAAAGGCACAAATTGAAGCCGAACAGTGGGGAGTCATAGCTGTACCGGCAACAAGTAAATCATGAATTGTTCAACGAGATATTCGGCACCCGAATGCAAACGACAGCAAAGTGGGCGGATTGAATATCCATGTCTAAATAAAGCCCTTTCCCTTAGTCTTCCCCCATTCCCTGTCTCCACGGTCCATCTAAATGGAATGTGTATATATTATTCCGTCAATTTCTCATTGCCATTCAGACGGGGACGAAGTTCGACGGATTAGATTTTAGATTTCCAACTGTTCGGAACTCGGTTTGTTTAGGTCTGAAAGTGAGGTATATGGGGCTGCGAGGAGTATTTTCATTAATTTTGAATAGACGCTCAGCTACCGATTGTTCAACTGAACTGTTATATTATGCAATTACAATAACTTTGGAAGCTAGAAGTCTACTGTATATCATGGTCATACGTACAGAGTGATGGCTACACTGCCGTCCTAAGCCACAAGATAGGATGTGCTAATTTCACAATTTACTGGAGCGATGATAACGAATTGTAATCCTGAAATTGTAACGTTTTAATAAAGAAGAATGCTTTTTTTTGTACCTGGTTAAAATTAATAATATTTTCTAACGAATTGATTGATATTACCCAGGCTGACTATTTATAAATAAAAAATGGCATATACGTTACTTTTACCTCACAATTTTCTGAACTGCTGCTTTTTTACTTAATAACACAGTCGTTAATCGCACATTCAACATATACCTTTAGTATATGAAGCCTAGTTTTTTTACAGTACCTTTACAAATAAACTAAATGACCGACGAAAAGTAATTAAAAATATAATGAATTCGGTGTGACTAGATATCTCTTATAGTATCTGCTAGCGCTATTGCCGACATTATGTCGGTGTTTTTTGACATTATGTAGGTTTTTCTACAAGATATAAACTAGGAAATAGCTGTTTCTTACTTCATGCTGACTTGTAGCAGGCGCGGTATGAACTATTTGACAGTTGACATTTTATCCATTTCATTGACGTTATATAGGTTTTTACGTAATAACCGTGGTCATTTACTATGTTTTAATTTGTTTTTGTGCAGATACTAGGTTATAGTTTAAGCGGATCGTAAAAATGCTACTTACTGTAAAACAGTTTTTGATTTTCTGTATTTTTCATGACATGTGATGTATTTTACCATCGAAATATGCTTCTTCTACATGCATTTCGTATTATAATGACGATATCTCATATTCGCATCTTTGCACTTGCTGCGTAAAGTTTATTTACCAAAAATAACGATAATATTGTAAACTGAATATAAAAGCGTACACCTTTGCCCATTAGTCACTGTCTAATGTACGTTAGTCGAATCTGTCAGTTACGGTTGCCCAGAAACCAGACAAAGTCAAGTAAAAAGAGAAAGGGAAAGAGAAGAAAAGAGGAGAAGAGCAAAAAACAGATGTGTTTAGTTAAAGAGGAAACACCTAAGTTTCTTGACTTGGTACACGGATTAATTTTGAGGTGAACTAAACAAATTTTTTATTCGGTTATGTTAGAGTGTAATTTTGAGTTTACTAAAGATTCACGCTAACTTTTGATTACAGTGCGAGCCGTGGCCTTGAATGTTTACCAACTTGCTCCACTGTGTAGTCCACTGAGTCACGCAACAGAGGGTTGCTGTGCGATTCCGCTTGACTATAACGTCGCTGCGCCTGAAGCTTGACATAATCCCTCAAGTAAGGAATGTCAAGGTCTCTGTGTAGTGTCTCATTTGAGACATACCACGGAGCGTTGCAAATTGTCCACAAAGTTCTGCAGTACTTGAAGACTTTGCATGTGTGTCTGCGCAGGAAAATACCAATCCGCACACGCATAAGTAATGGCTGGTCTAATAATCATTTTACATAGTCGAACTTTGTTTATCAAACTCAATTTGGAGGATCTACGTAACAACAATTTGGAATTTTGTTTTTATGGATGCTGTATGTTTCTGCCAGGTCATGCCTCTATCAAGGCAGATACTTGGCAGAATTTGCCCATGGTACACGACTTCCATCTACAGAAACCTCTGCTAGGGGGCCGCGACGTTTTTTGGTACAATAAATAGCCTGCGATTTCCAATGATTAATTTTTATCAGCCACCGTTCCACCCACTCTAGCACTTCGTCCACCGCATTCTGCAACCCATCGTGAACTAGATCACCAGTACACGACTGGGTGACGAGTGCAGTGTCGTCAGCATAGAGGTAGACTTCACAGTTGCTGGGGCAAGGGACATCATGGATGAAAAGCGAATAAGGGTTTGGTCCGAGGACCGAACCCTGAAGAACATTGTGATCCGAAACTTCCTCCCTTCAAGAAAGAATTTCAGTAATTTTAGAACATTTGGATGCTTTCAAAGTATATGACAGTTTACTGAAACTTGACCAAAAGAGCTCCCACATGAACTTTGGTCAATATTTGAGGAGTCGATTTTTGGTACCGCTTTAAGAAAAAACTTCATATGAACGTACGTTCTAAACGTGTTAGCTTTCAAGATACAGTTTTCAAAATTAAACCATTTGTTTATTAACAATATACAATTATTTCAATTTCTACCAGTGGCGTTCTTATAGAGTTTCATTTGCCTATTTTACCAAATATTGATGGTATGCCACTGATTTCTCTTATAATAAAAATTGTGCTTGAAATCCCCAATGACTTCAAAAATACTCGTTTGCTCGATTTTTCTCAATCCGATGCACGGACTTTGTTTAAAAAAATGTAAGCCGTTTTTGTGTATGATCTTCGCAGCATCGTTAATATGACAATATCACCATGCGGAGAAGCAGCTTTTATATTCCCAGGTGAAAACCGTGCCTCGGACTGAAACATCCAGTAGATCAAATCTGTTCATAAATAAATGCAGATTTCATCTTTAAGGATAGTCTGCGGCATGCCACAAACTTTTTACACTAAAAACTTCACAACCCTGTGTCTAAGTTAAGAGACTTAGACCAAAGGTTCATATCAAGTTTTCTTCTACAAACAGACCCAATAATCGACCCCCTAAATATTGTTATTCAATTAAGAAACACCTTGTATATGTTTAGCCTCTGCATAGTAGTTACAGAACCTCGGAATTCAAGCTGTGCTTCTGCGACTGCTTCCCCATCAAAATAAAATGTTGTAAATTAACTATAGTAATCACTTTGGTCATTTGTAATATATTTCTACCGTTCTAATATAACTGTGGAACCCTCCTTCTGTGTAAAAATATTAAAACGAGTGCAAGCCAAGCGTAAAACGAAATGAATACATAAAATGCTCCTGGTTTTAATTCCGTTTTATTAGATATAATGACGCTAATTCAACAGCAACAAACTAGACGCGGACCCACTTTGTCGTGTTTTATGACGTTTTTATAATAGCTCAAATACTATATGAGATTAATTTTAAATTAAACCTTGCCTCTCAGCCTCGACAGGGTAATTTGTCTGTTGATTAAAGCATTGTGCTGCCTACTGGTCAGTGACGTGCAAAAAGTGAGAGAATTAATTTTACGCCAAGGAGCCCTTGTACAAGCTTTTATTTAATTTGGTCGGTTGATGTGAGATGAATCTTGAAACCAAATTTTGAAGTGCTAACTTCAAACAGTTGAGCTGAGATTTTATTTACACGTTTGGTTCCCATGACGATACATAATAATTTAAATGTCGCCATTTTGAATCCAATATGTCGGCAATTCCCATAGCAACCCTTATAATATAGGCGTCAAATAAAAGGGTTTGACTGAGAGAAGCACAACAGACAAAGTGACGTCATGCAAGTCCAGTATGGCGACACCACAAAGGCGATTTGTTATTTCCACGGTAACCACTACGATGTGCCTATATAAATACATTCAAGCAACAAGTAAAGCAGAAAAAAACGAGTCTTTATTTCACTCGCAAATGAATATCGTTTAAATGTTGAGAAATATGAAAAAGCATGTTACCAATCGGAAAAGAATTACTTAATATTAATTGTCTTTATCAACGCTTTTTTATGTTCTCAGCCTTAAATGTCAAACAATATCTACATGAGCGTTTTTATCAGGTTGAACTTTTCCAACAGTATTACATATCCCATATACAATGCGGGTCTGACTTTTAACTGGCTAAGGGCCGATTTCACCAACATTAATATTATGGATCAATGGGAAAATACCTCATCGAAATGCAATTTGACGGAAGCTATCAAGGGTCTCTGAATATCAGTGATTTCTATTGAAATATTGAATTAAATCGTGAAACTTCGACTGTATTATAAACAAGACCACTTTTTGATTCCAACATGATGCTTTTATACAGAAAAAACAGGACAGCCTTCATGTATTTTGATATATGTTATAGGTTTACATTTAACAATCCGTTATCCCTCTCAGCGAACGGGAATGCGGCAGATAATAGGTCGATTTTCTAGCTGTTAAATTTGGCAGCAGATTTGGACGTTTGTTAATGCATGGCACTCACGAACTTACCAACTTCAATATACTGAAAGTTATCATTACATACCTGTTGAATAGTGTGGATTTGTCTGTATTTTGCAAGAAAATAGAATATAAAATACATTCCATCCAATGCCTCATCTTCTTTACGTCATAATAGTAACCATTTATTAATTTATGGGATAACGAATTTCTTCAAAGCAATAAAAACATTATGTCCTCTCCATCCTAAAACACAGATAATATGTGTAAGACGTGTGAATCCCTACATCTCCCTGATGCATAATGCAATTACTATGGACATAGACAAAAAATTATGAAAAATGTTTCACAGATGATGGCTTTTAAGTCCAAAAATCAAAAAAACTAGTAATGTTTATGGTTTGTTTATTTTCTTTTTTGACTGGCGGGTATATCTATCTGACATTCGCAGGGTTGCCAAACACTGTGACATATGATTTATAGCATAACCCGCTGCCCTATCAATACAAATTTAACATACAGGTCGTCTAGCCGTGGGGATGCAGTGGTCGGGATGAATATCACGGCAGCAACTTTTGATTTGGGCATGTCTGGTAACAACATATGAATTAAAACTCGCTAACTTCACAAATTTGAAGATTTTGTACAATTTCTTTGGAAATGACGAAAGACATGTCTGATTTGGCAGGGTAATGTCGCAGCCAAATGGCAGTCACTCTTTCTGACACAGTCCGGATCAAAAGATGACGATACTCGTGACATGTATTGATACTTCCAAATATAGGATCGAATCGAACATCCCTACTGTCAAGATATATAACCCAAGGTACCAACGGAGCTATTTTGCAGCGTCATGGAAATAATTTTAAATATTCATTTGCATATTTGCAAGTGTTGTGCAACGATTTTGGAAAAAATGTCACAATAGTCTTATAAAGCATAGTTTTCAACAGTTGGCGGAACTTACTCCATTGGGACCAGGAGGGTGAAACGGGATATTAATGCACAATCTGGAAACCCTGTCGCACCCTCACAAAATGGCCGCTGACAACCACACAAGTCACCGTGTCGTCATTGAATAAGATGGAGTTAAACGTTCAGAGTATGTTTTGTGACTGGTGGAGTTGACAGATCCCACACATGTGTCACTCCTTGAAATGCAATAATTAGCTGTATTCAAACAATGTCTAATATAAATACAACCTAGAATGTGTACTAGTGAAAAAAGAAAAATATGGCAAATTTGTAGTTTTTTTGCAGGTTTTAGGTTTGCTGGTAGCTTTAAGGCATATATTTGGGAATTTCTTAATCGCTGTGAATATAGTGTGGATGTTTGTTCAGTTCCTGAACAACGAAAATGTTCAACTTTATGGTTGTATGGATATCAAAAAACCTGAATGGTTTTGTGGGAATATCAATCTAAGGTGCCATAATGGTTCTGATGAACGGCAAGTAAATGAATGAATGTTTGGAAACGAGCAATATCTTTTGGTAGAGCCTGTCATCAAGTAGGTGCTTAATAGCTATCTGCAAGAGGTTTATTTGAAAAAACAACCAGTATCACATATCAATTGAAGAAAATAATATAAACATGAATAAAAAATCAACAATAGTAATTGAAACATGAATTTAATTCAAAAATCAAACATTTCTTAAAATTTTGACAGAATTATATGTAATTTCTTAATATTCAATAAGCTGGTGATGTTTCAATGACAAGTTGTCATCTCATACTTTGTTAGTATTTTGTTTTCAACATTTCCTAGCTATTGGTTGCTAAAATTTGTTGATTGGAACTTGAAGCTCATTCGCTGTATCTGACGGTCTGTTACCCTATAGGTGGAGAATAAAGGACTGTTGTTGGTCAAGTTGGACCTAAGGTTAGTGAAACT